CTTGTCATGTCATACCAATTACTGCCATATTGTCTCTCAAGTAAATGTTTGATTTAAAAAAAAAGAGTAATAAATGAAAACAAGAGATAAGAAAAAAAAGGCATAGGACTGTCCTGCTACAGTGCTGTATATGGATAGATTTCTAAATTTCTGTGTAAAAATATGTAATTCTTTATTCTTATTTTTTAAATTTAAAAAAATTTATTATTCATATTCTGTAGAGACTTAAAGTTTAGCATATCAATACTTGATGGAAAAAACCTGTTCGATTTTATGTCTAAGATGTTTGATATTCAGACAGATAATGAGGTTAAGCTCAACTGTCTACATTGTAGGGTAATAACAATAAGCTTCTCTTCTGGAGGGTTAACAACTTAAGTTTGCAGACCAAAAGTTAGAGAAAAAGAAGGGCTGCAAGGACAGCCAACATCTTGGCCCTACCCTTTCAAGATCATTGAGGACTCAGAGCACAAGAGAACCTGTACTGTAACATCATGTAACTCAGTTGGGTCCCAAATTTTCTGATCAAGGAGATTATTGGGGCAAAGAGGAAAGTGATCAATGATGTAGAGTGTGCCTCAGGAGAGTCACATGGAGAGAATACATTCTCTCAGGCTTTCACAGGGAGCAAATTGGTCAAGCAATGGCCATGACTCATTCACATGGCTGACACTGACAAAGGATGTACAAACTGTGGTACAGAGTTTCAGGGTAAATCCTGAGGGGATGTGACTGACCTTGTCAGATACAAAAGTTACATTTCTTGTTATATAGATCTTGCTTTATCTTAGTCTTAACCATCCAGCAGAAAAGTATAAAAATGAAGTATAAAAAGTAAAGCCATATTAATATGCTGAGCTATATAAGGCCCCGGTCAACAACTTTTGACATTGCTAGTCCTACAGATAACTCATTACTATTATGGACTACTGCACTATATTGGAATAGTTTGCAGAATTCACATGCCTACAATATTTAAATGACAATGGAATACCCATCTCTGACAAAAAAAAAAAAGGGAATACAAGTGAAAGACCATTTTGTATCTGTATATTCAAAATAGGATAGATATACAGCTACTTTCTATTAATTCAATGAATAGAAAGATTTATACTAATACTGTTTGTGGACAGGATACCATGCCTGAATCTTGTACTATGAATAACCACTAAGAAGACAACAATATGCAATGTATTAATTACTGAAACTATTCTAGTAATTGGTTTTGAAAGTGTCTCACTATTTGTTTCTCAATAAAATTATTTAAAAAAAAGAAATAGTTTTATTCTTTCTTAGTTCAGACAAAAAACTGTTGTGGGATATTCAGTGTTATAAGTGATTTTGCCTCAAACTATAAGGAGAGTTCATAATTTTTCAATCCTAAAAGGGTGTTCAGCTCTGGATTTCTGGAACTGGTTATGTCTATGTTTCTTCCCATCCTACTGGGACTTAATGTTGTTAGCAACCTCCTGTGTGGTTCTAAGATATCTTGACCTCTTTGAAACCTTTCCAGGTGTTACTGCCACTTTCATGATCTCTGCAATACAAGCTACATTGTTTAGTGGAGTTAAGTTCTATGAACTTTAGAAATCCTCCCTGAGACTATGAAATGCCTAACACCCAAGGTAGCACAAAGCACAGATATAAATGTTCTTAAAACCAAGCTTGCTGGGCAGTGCAAGATATGACTTGGGAGTCTGAAAAAGGAACATTGTGCTCACTTGCGGGTCTCTGACTAGCTCCAGGTGCAGGCTGAAGCAAAGTGGTTAGTTTTTTTGAGTCTAAGATGTAACCTCTCATTAAAATACAGCAGAATTTGCAATTGTGGATGCAAGAAATTCCTTGAAGACCCTCTGGGTCCATTAAAGCATCTGGCTTTAGAGGGTCTGAAAACATACTTCAGTATACACAGATATAGCAAAGAGATACTGTTTTCTGTAAGTGTGATCTTAAGTTTTAGCAGTAAGCAAATTATAGTGATTGTTTCTCATCTTGAAATTTGTGTCCAGAGTATGCAATTACAAATTTAAAAAAAGTTAGCAGATACCTGTCTTATGCTTCCAGTTTGTCCCTGAATGGTTCTTACCATTTCTAGTTAGAGTTAAGATTTTGCAAGTATTGATATTCAAAGAAACCTATATTAGTCTAGTTTTAGACTTGCATGGTCTACTGTACAAGAGCTTTCTCATCTTTTTCTCTTAGACCTGTAGGCTAAGGGGTCTGTAGAGAGGCAAAAAATAGAATAGGGGCCTCATTAGAACTTCTTGCTAGTCCTGTGCCTAGAAGGAGTTAAAAACAAACTTTACTAAAGAAATACTCCTGGGAAGCAAGTCAAGGACTGGGGTAGAGAAAGAGAAAAACCAGATAAAGAAAGGCACCAATGGCCTTGGGAATTGTGCCAAGAGACCAGAAAAAGGGCTAACATGCAGAATACAGACAGAAAACCAAGTACACAAATGGTGAGTCATTCCCACCTCCAACAGAATATGGGAAAAAATGGGGAGGAGGGAACTAACTCTAAGGCAGTATATTTTCTCCCCCCCCCCACATACATTCACTCTAGAGTCACTGTATTACTCACTCTAGGGTCATTATAGAATACAACAGATATCCACATGCCCCCTTGCTAATTCTAACCTAGCCATGAATAAGGTACGCCCTTGCCAACTAGCTACCCATTCCAAAGGCAAGGCCCTGAAAGGTAGGTCAAGGACAAGTAAACAAATAGAAAAAAGCTTTATATGGACCACTGGAAGAAATCATATTAAACAGAGTCCTGGAATATAGTCCAGCTATGGCAAGTTCCAGGTATGTGCATGTAGTCACTGACTCTCTAAAAGCAGCTGGGGATAAAGTGCCCACGGATCCGCCATCTTACTGGAGTGCCTGTCCTGACTTTTTCTTATCAGGGTAGCCTGTCTTCTTCTTTCTCCCCCCCACTTTTTTTCCCTAATAAAGTGTTTTCTTTTCTTTAAACTTTGTTCCTCTCTAATTTTTTATTGGGGCTGAGTTTACAATCCTGGTGGGCTGCTTGCACAGCACAGCAGTAGTGCTTGTCCCTGAGATGGGACATTTTTGATTCTTTGACCAGGAGCTAAATGTGACAGAACCTTATAGCTTTACAGTTCTTACAAACAAATTATGATGCCAAAACCCAGGAGAGCAAGACAATGCTGTGGAACTCAAACTATGAATACAGAAACTCAAAAGGTAAGTTCCTTATCTATAAAATATGTACAACAAAGACTACAAACAACACAGGGATGTTTGAAAATAAAACTACTAATAAATACAAATCACCTTGAAAAGTGCAAAACAGTGCAAATATGAAAGGTATAGTAATTGACCTGGTTGTCAATTACTCTTTTCTATTGATCTCTTCCCTGCTCAGATACGTTACCCCACACTCCTGAGCCAATGACGCTGATACTTTCCTTTTCCCATCCTGGCTTACTGTTGAGGGACTTGTGAGTCATGGAGGGCTGTATGCACCTTTGCTTGACTGTGAGGAGAGTCAAGTTTCATTTGCTTTGCTTTTGTTAGATAAGGGGCTTGTTGTGTGTCTATGGGCAAAGTGCCTACAGGGATAGTGTAAAACTAACTACACATCATCACACAGCTATTCTAAGGCTCTCTGTCACTCACAGTCCACTTTTTGGAATGTAATCACCAGGAGAACTTTTAAAAGATCTAAAACATTATATAGCAAGTGTTGACATGGCTGAGATTAGAGATATGTTTTTCTTTTTTGTTGTTGTTGTTCTATATATGTACGCTTTCATTTTTGTAATCTGTAAGAAAAAACCCTTCGTTCTGAAACAAACAACTAAATACAATGTCCTTTATGGCAGAAAGGCAAATAATATAAAAACTCTAATGTGGAAATATCTTAAGAGACAAATTAGAAAATAAGGGCATGGGATTTCTCCTAAAAATATAAGTGCAATATCATATTGTATGACACATTTTTACCAAGAGATTTATGTAGTCTACTGTTCTGTCAGATATTTAATTAAATATATGAAAACAAGAAATATGATACTATATTTACCTTTCCAAATTTTATGAAACAACACTGTGGCAACTTGATGAAAAAACAAAAAGTTAAATGTAGCTATGGAGAAAAGAAAAAGGAAGATGCAGCCTAAGGGTAATATATACTCTTAAGCTGGTCTATAGACCAGATGGGAAAATTTGCTCTCTAATCTAATGACTTTCTTTTAATCATAAGCAGACAGCAGGCTGCCTTATTACCCAGATTTTAGAAATACATTATTCTTGAGAGTACTTCCTAGCATTTCTTTCATTCACTTAAGACCACATCTTTGTATTTAATTCATTCTTGTATTATCCCTGCAGGGCATATCTCTCTAATTATTTCCATCTAAAATGACAGGAAAATGGAATTATACTACTTGGAAAACAGAAATCCTTTGGATTACCTTTTCTCAGTGCTACTTTGGATCTAGTTTTACATTGTGCTCATAGCACCACAGATTGTAAGCTGTTTGCAAAGGGCATAGACTGGATATTGTCTTGCATTTCTAGTATTAGCATGTGTCTGGTAAAGAATAAATGAATGAATAATGGTGTCCAACACATAATGCTTTACTGTATACGAAGCACTAATATTCACTCATTAAGTCTTCATACCTAAAGGAATAGGAGCAATTTTATCTTCATTCTATATATAAGCAAACTGAGGCACGGAGTAAAGCATACTTCTACAGGCTGAATCTAGATCTACATGCTTTGGTTTTGGAGTCCAGTTCTTAGCCAACACATCCCATGTGCAAAAGGAAAATGCTCCATTCTAGGGGGAGCACAGGTACACTGGGCCCCATTTCTGAAGATTTCTGCATTTCTGTCAGCTGTAGTACACCATGTGGTTTCTTGGGAGACTTAAACAGGAAAAAAACTGGAGACAGGCATACAAATGCAGAATGTATGAATCCCTAACCTTAACAACTGCTGTGTTTGTAAGGCTGTTTCTCAAATACCTGTGGGGATTTGTGAGAGCGCCAGCTGTACTGGTGACTATGGAGACTCGCCAGGAGAATATTTTCATCGGTATCCACCTGGCCAAACCGCAGTGTCTCCTGTGTGTCATTACAGATCACAAAGTGGCTGAAGACCAACTCTTCCACCTCAGGGCATTTGTTCTGAAAGAGAAAGAAAATGAAAGCCAAAATGAAAGCCAGCGTGTATCAGATTAATTGCAAGATGTTTGGCAGCTGTCTGCCCAGTGGCCATTGTTACAACACTGAAACCCTAAAGGATCTGTTGTCATTAGCTCTGGTATACAAAGTACTTTATATTTCCAGGATAAGCACAGAAATTACCTTAAAGAGATCATAAATGTTCCAAGAATGTGTTTTGATTTATGTAGAATAAATCACACACACAGATGAATAAAAGAAAAATGAGATCCTTTAAATTTACATTTCTTAAAATGAGTTAACATCCTACAAAGAGTGCTGTACTGGGCAGTGCATGTTTCTGAGTAGAGTACTAGAAGCTAGAATTACCATGTTCCCAGTCTCCTAAGCTTGACAAACAGGACCAATCCACAAAGCCACAGTCTGTACCCTGCAGAAAGTAAGGATCACTTAGGTAATGCATCCCTGTGCTCCTTAAGGGGGAGCATGCATGACAGTGTGCGTAAATCTGCTCATGGAGAGATGGAAATACAACTGTGACACTCCTTATATTGTGAAGAGGGCTGAACATGCAAAACAGATCAACTCCAGAGTCAGTTTAAGCACGCTGTAGTTTTCGAGAGAAATAATGTTAGTTGAAAAACTGCTTCTAGTACCCATTCAGCTAATAGCCATCAATGAGCTAATATCCTTTATTAATCAGCTAAGATTCATCACATAAGTTATATATTCTCCTATTGATGCCTTTTGCTTGATCACATGGGGTCTCTACTGACTGCTGCTTTGTTATAGCAAGAACACCGGTAAAGTGATGAGTTGTTCTATGCTTATGCTCTTATCACTCTGGTTAGGTTATGGTATAAATAACCAAAAAATACTTTTGATAAACTAGAAGCATAGTTAAATGTTTATTTTGAGGATATAAGAAACAATCATAATTAACTAATTGGTTTGCAGATGAGAGAAAATAAGCAATGAATGCTTCTCTAGTTTGTCTCTATTTCCTGGCTATGGATAAAAAGAATGCCACAATGTTATACTCTACTGTTTGTCACTTTATTGAAGGGAGAGTTAAGAAATAGTTCAGAAGGGTTGTGATTCAAGGGATTAAGAGGCATGATGCCAATAAAGCAATTAATAAATGAATCTGAGGAGGCTGGTGAGACAGCTTAGTGGACTAAGCACTTGCTTAGGGGCCAGGGTTTGATCCCTGGCACTGCATGCTATGCTGGCCCCACCCCCAGGTGCACTGAGCCAGTGATGGAGTCCAGGTGTGATGGCACACACCTGTAATCCCAACAATAGGGAGTCAGAAAACAGGAGGATCACTACGAGTTTGAGCTATAGTGAAACCTTGCACAAAAACAAAAACAAAACAAAACAAAAACAAAAAAACCCCTGGAACCTAGCTGGAATGGAAACTAGATCTAGAAATTCATCAAGAAATAAAGTTCCCTTGGAAAACAACCCACTACTACTCATGAAAAATTCCCCTAAAGTGGTTCAGCAGTATTGTGTGGTTGCAGGTAGTGAAATGGTCCTGATATGTTTTGTTCTTCTAGAGGCCCTTGAGAACTTCTAAGACCTCTCTCTATTATCCAGGTATTCTCACCAAAACTCTCACTGTGGAGCTGAATCATGCTTGAAAGCCACACTCATTGCACAGTCCCCCCCCCCCCACATCTGGATGAGACCAGAGCACTTATGATCAACTACCTGTTGTCTACTGTAATGCTTTCTGTTGTGCTTTTGATTATTATGCATTTGATCAATAATGCTTGCTTTTTGGTTTTAGATATCTACTCTTAGCCAGTCCCTGTCCAAGCTCTGGCTACATCTCAAGTTACTCTCCATTTGCTGAAGACATTTGTGGAGGACATCCTATTTCTAAAAGCCCTTTCCTACTCCCCACCAGTACTATACTCTTCTTTCAATATCAAGCTGCTTCCTACCTCACTCCATTCCCTCTATTGAGAACTCTTTCCCTCCAACTTTTCCTTGGCCAACTTAATTCTGCTTAGCTTTCAGGTTCCTATGGTAAGGAGCCTTCTGATATCTTCCCCAGATCATACCAGGCCTGTTTTCTTATATCTGTATGACACCATGTTTACCTTCAGAGTTCTTGAACCAATTCCCTCCATCATTAGACTCTGCTGAAGCAGGAATCAAATCTGTATTTGTGACTTTACCTCAAGTACTCAATCCAATTCCTGACATAAAAGTATTCAGTAAATCCAGGATACAAAAAAAAGTAGATCCAATTTTGGACATTATATATAACATAATTTATTAGAAAACATCAATTTTAAAAATTTCTAATTTCACACTTGGCAATAACTCCTATTAACATTTTGGTGAGTTTTCTTCAAGAATTTTTTCTCTTCTCAATGTCTTCCCTATATAATTTTACCTTCTGTATTTGTCTACAAACCTCTAATTAAACTGGAATGATAATATATAATCAGTTTTGATGAGATTTTTTCCATTATCATTACATAATCAACATACACAGCTCTCCTTATAAACATTTTTCTCTCTCTTCTACCCAACAGTACAAACATGAAGGAAAGGATATGATTCCAATCTCTCACTTAGTTATACATCCTGAGATTAAAACTCAGTTTTCATAATGAATTGGGATCAATCTCAACACAAAGGTTAAGTTACCAGATGGGGCTTGAGTCGAAAAAGAAAATCATATTACTTACCTCATCTTTAAAAACTGACCTTTAATAAATGATGAGGGTTTAAGGAAAAAATGTAAATTAAAGAACACAAGGGGCTTGTTTACATTTTTCTAAAGAATACTTAAAGTCCTCAGGGAACTGTTTCTCTACTGCTCCTTCATCTGTGGAGTTCATTATAATTCTAGTAAGTTTAAACATTTCTTGAAATGTTTTAAATTCTCTGTATATTATTAAAAAGTTGATATGCATTTAATGTGCCATCATGTATGCTGAGTCTTAGAATGCTCACTAGGATTTGTAGTTAGAAGATGGCTTATTTGTCTTTAGTTTTATGGGACATCGTTCAGGCATTTGCAATTAAGCAGAAATACTGTTTTGGTATAAGGGGAGACACATGAGTATAACCTTGATTTAAAAAATACTTTTTAACACAAAACTACAAATATGGCGTAGGAATATAAAACAAACTGAAAGTGGTATTTTGGGTCCTTAATCTGATTTCATATGATAGTTATAATTTATAAAAGAGGAGAAAACCTACAGCTAGAGAAATCAGACACAGATGAAGGGTTCTGTTAATCTCGGACTTGTGACCTAAAGGTGAAAGGCCAAAATGCCTCATTCTTCAACAATCTGGCTCATCCATACTGGGTAAAAATGACTAGCTCCTGATATGAATCTGATCAAAAGTATGTGGAGAATTCAACTCACTTATCTTGTTTATTAAATTCATTTTTCTCAATGGCAACAATTTATCATATGTAGGCATTATATACACGATAAAATCCAAATGTGGGAAACTAAACTCCCTAAAGAGGATAAAACCACATTCTGAAAATCTTGAAAACAATGAACTTAATAAACCTCTACCAGCCCATTTCAATGTCAAATGTCCTATAATTTCAAAGTAGTGCAGTTTTATATTTACTTTAGAATACACAGGGTTAGATGCCTACCACATTAAAACTTGGTGGCAAGTACCCTTGACAAGGGAGGAAACAAGAAAATTACAGCAACAATTACAGAAGTATATCCTCTTGTGGCTCATGTTAACATTGCCAAATCCCTGTATAAATCAGAACCAACTATTCATAGAATGTACCTGTCAGCAATATGCTACGTGACATATGGCTCTACTTAATCAAATATACAACTTCTTTAAAAAAAAAAAAAAAGAAAAACTAAGAATATTCCTTCAAGGCACTACGCTAGCCAGTCAGTCATTCATACTCTGATGTGGTTTAAAACATTTAAATATTTATGTACCATATTTTATTTATATGTATAGCTGTGTCTAAGAGAATATTTTTACCCAGAGAGGAAACTGATATTTGTGAAGGCCATTTCACAGTAGTTGCTACATCAGTCTTTTTATATGGCTCTGATAGCAAGACAAAAAATATTCCTGCATTAAATGCTCTATCAATGACTCTTTTATATTTTCTAGGTTTGTTTTTTATTAAATGCATTGTTCAAAATATGACAACCCCCACCCCGAAATTGGAGTCATGGAGTTTTTTTTCACATTGCTATTTGAACCAGCTGTAAAGATTTAGATCACACTAGCTCTTATTTTACGCATGTCCTTTGCAACAAGAAAACCATGGAATGCCCTTAAAAAAGATTTTAAAAATATGAAACAGATGTGTTATCTTCTTTCCCTTTGCTATTGTAGTACCATGTTGGGTAATTAATTCCTTAGTCTTGTATAGGTCTTCGTGCATATAAAGAAAACATTAAATTTTTCCATAAAGTTTAATTTCTATAAAAATTTTTAAGTTAGAGAACTAAAAATTCTTTTTTAGAATTGTTTATTCTAAAACATTTATTTCCATAAAATTCTTGTTATTCCCATAAAAATCCCCAATTGTTTAGTTATTTTTGTAAAAATTCTTAAGTTAGAGAACTAAAGCCCCTCCCACCTCCTCTGGTGTCCCTGTCTCAGCTAGGTCAGTGTAGGAGTCAGAATCGTCCCTCCTGGAGAGCCAACTCCACACAAAAGTACACTAACATAAACAAGGGATGGGGAAATGTTTCAGTTTAAATAGCAACCAAACATGGTGGAAATGCAACATAATCAGTAAGAAAGCTGAAGTGATTTGTTGTTAAACTACTGAATATATTATCTTTCAGACATTCTATGAAATGACTTCCATGACAGTAGACATAGACAAGTTTCCTATTCTCTTTTTGTTTCTTATGGTACTGGGGTTGAATCTAGGGCCTTCACACTGAGCTACATCCTCAACTCACTTTGTTCTTTTTTAGTTCTGGAGATGTTCTAAGCTATAGTCCCATTCCTTTTTAGTATATACTGTTTACATTCCTTGTGGGGAATTGGTACATATAGATAATACACCTTAATTCTTCTTTTTATCCCTTTTCAGTTCTTCCCTCTATCCTCCATCCATCTCTTGGTCCCATTTGGGTTTTTTTTTTTTTGGTACCAAGAATCAAACTTACAGCCTTGCTCTTACTGGGCAGGTACTGCATCACTGAGCCACATCCCTGGCCTTTTTTTTTTTTTTTTTTTTTTTTTTTTTTAAACAAGATCTCACTAAATTGCTGTTCTGCTATTGATCTTGTAATCCTCCTGCCTCAGCCCAGCAGAGTGCCATACCTAGCCAGGTTTCCCACTTGAAATGTGTCATTTGGCATAGATTTATACTTCCTCCTTTTTTAATATGGATAATTTCTGATACCATATACAAGTAAATATCATTATTCAAGAATCTTTAACCTAAAACTCTGTATCTAGTACTTTTTAGTGAATCAAAAATATAGAATGATGGCAGATGAAAAGACTAGGGTTATATCGTGCTCAAAGATTCCATCTCATTGCTTTTTTTTTGTTTGAGAAGCTTGGAATGCTCATTATCAGAAAGGCTTACAGGTTCTTCATTTCTATGATGGACACTCATATATAACTAAATGGACACTTTAGTAAGCCAAAGCTACACTTAGAAAAAATTTCTGGGCATATGTGACTTTCCACACAGGTGTGGTAGATTAGTCATAAAAATGTGGGCATGATCACTTACGCATGTGTAGAGAACCCATATTCTCCAAAGTTAAACAACTTGTATCACTTTCTCATACAGAGAAGGCCTCAGATACTATGTTGCCCATCAAATTCTTTTCTCTCTCATAATTTTGTATGTACTTAATGTATAATTAGAAAAGATAACATATAGAACCTAATAAAATATCCTTTGCAGCCAACTGTACACTGCTGTAGAATGTGCATACCTGCTGCCAAGCTTGTATCGCAGTGTTCAAAGAATGAACTACATGCTGTCCGAAGTTTGCAGACACAGAATCCACTCTTACGGTGCACTCAAGCAGCCTTCCCCCCGCATTGCTGGAAACTTCAATCTGTCCGGAGATGCTAAAGGGTTTTACCACAGTTTGCATTGTAACATTTCTGCACTCTAAAAGTTTACAGTCGGCTTGAGCTGAGAACCGAATTTCCTGGCAGACAGAACCATTATTCCACTGTCGAAGATACATGTGTGGTTCTCTGAAGGAAATAATCATGTATTCTATTTCAGATGGCACATTTCTGTCAGAAATGAATGGCTGTAAATACTGTGGCAAAGCTGTTAAAAAAAACAAAAACAGTAATTAAGATGAGGCAATATTTTATGGCAATAAAGAGTGAAAGTACATTTTTCCCCCATAATTTTATTGAGAAACAAATAGCAATGAGACAGTTTCATACCAAATTGGTAGGACAGTTTCAATAATTAACACATTGCATACTGTCTTCTAGTGGTTATTAGTACAAGATGCGGACATGATATCCTATTTATGAACACTATTAGAACAAATCCCTCTATTCATTAAAAGAATGTAACTATATATCTATCCTAACCATTTTGAATACACAGATACAAAACGGACATTCATCTGTATCCCCTTTTTTGTTTAGTTCCGTTATTTGAATATTATAGGTGTGTTAACTCAGCAAAATATACTAAAAGAGTCCAAGAGCCCATGACAGTATTGGGTCTTCTGCTTGACTGGCGATGTCAGAAATTGTTGACCTGAGTCCCCTACAGCTCAACATAACAGTATGGCTTTACTTCTTCTTTTTTTTTTTTTTTTTTCCCTTTGGCTTTACTTCCTATACTTCATTTTTATACTTTTCTGCTGGATGGTTAAGACAAAGATAAAGCAATACCTATGCAACAAGAGCTGTAGGTTTTGGGTCTGTGAAATCCCCTCAGGATTTTTCCTTAGATCCTGTACCTCAGATTGTATATCTTTTGTCAGTTTCAGCTATGTGAATGAGTCATGGCCATTGCTTGGCCAATGTGCTCCCCGTGAAAGCCTGAGAGAATGTTTTCTCTCCATGTGACTCTCCTTAGGCACACTCTACATCATCAATCACTATCCTCTGTGGCCCCATAATCTCCTTGATCAGAAAATTTGGGACACTACTGAGTTACATGACATTATAGTACAAGTTCTCATGTCCTGCGTCTTAATTGACCTTGGAAGGGTAGGGCCAAAATGTTGGCTTTCCATGAGGTGCAACTTTTTCTCTAATTTTGCTTTGCAAATGTAGGTTGCTAACTTTCCAGAAGACAAGCTTATGGCTATTA